ATATAAATTACACATAGACCGCACCTATCCATCAAAATAAATATATTACATTAAATTTTTAGTAATATTATAGGACATCATATTTATATGTAAATGAGTTGTACTACGAATATTAGTATAGTTATTAGTTGCCTATAATGATGCGCTGCTTGAACGCTTTATAGTGTAGGTGTGTAATAAAGTATTTTCCCCATAATTCCGACTGACACTTAAGCGTAGGAGGAAGCTAGCTAATGTAATATGCACTAAACGTAAATTCGAATAGCATTACTTTCGATTACCTCTACAGTAGCATTTAAATTAAATTAAAAGAGTTAACCAAATCTAACTTAAAGATTTATCGCTTATTATATGTGCAGGCTTACCTTTTGTTCAAGTATAAAAAATACATGAAGCGCATTTTGGGAGCTTAAGGAGTTAAGTGTGATTAATACGATTAGTGTTATTTTTAACTCCAGTAATAATATTTGTGTATTATATTTTTTCAAAACAAAAAAATATTATTATTGAACTAACATTATATTGCTTGCGCGTTTTGTGTTTGTTGGAATGTATTGTACGTCAAAAATATTTTTATTTAGCTATCACGCATATTTATAAAAACAAAATATTTTTATTTCAATTGTTAATGGTATTTAAAATAATTATATATTTTAATAATAATACGAAATTGAAAAGCGGGGTTTTATTATATTTTACAATATATACAAAGTGATTCATTCAACGTACCTAATGTCTCGTTTCCTTAGAAAACAATTATCATTTTATAGTTAATTTTTTTAATAACATTGTATACACTAATATTTCTTACAATTTTGTAGTTTCAACATGTTTACTTTTTTTTATAACTGTTTAGGGTTTATAAATGTTTGAAATATATAACTGTAAACATTCTTTATCTCCTTCTTCGGATCCTGATTCCTGTCTCACGTCCAATTTTCGAGCACCTGAGACTTCTTTCGGGTTCTTTCCCAGCATATTCTAATCAACATATATGAGTGAGAATTGGCTTCCCAAAACAAGTCCAGCCCTTTGCAACGTTTTATTTCTATGCAGTACGTCAGGTCTTTGGACAATTATTATGACTAGGCAATTTTTCTTATTATTCTATAGCGGAAACTATTACAGGGTAAAAAATGCTTTGAAGCCGTTTTTTTTTTACAATCATTTGTTTTTTTCTCGTTTACTTTTCTTATAGATAAGGTTTCCGGGCGTCGTAAAGTAATTAATCGTGTACTGATATAATTTGTACATTTATGTTTTTTGCTTTCTCGACGGCGATATTGATTTGAGTGATTAGAATCTAAAAGTCACTTCCTTCGCTTAGTTTTGCGCCATCCTGTATCATACATACGAACTACGATATGATTACTGCGGTAACGTTTTCACGGTTATGCCGACAAATTTGCCGGCTACTTACTACGTTTTGCTGGCCACGTAACACGTTACCCGCCCGTTTAAATGGCCGTCCGAGTCGTGAGGTGTACTATAATAGAAAATATTGGGGTATCGGTTGGCAAACGACTACAGCTTCTCAGCAGGGGTGTACGTTAAAGGTGAGGACGAAGATTATATTATTACTATACACGTGCGAGCACGGTGTAGACTATGGCGAGAGAGCGAGACAGAGAAGTATTACTCCAAGAAGTATAATATACTTTTATATCGTCCATTATTTGTAAAATCCCGGTCGCGTAGAAGTCTTTATTACCGAAAATCTTGTCGAGGAGGCCGGGGTGTAACATGTGGGTCAGCCCTGAGAGAGCCGTCGGTATTATTCTGCCAGCACGATTTTTTCCCTCGGGCTCCCACAAACAGGATAATACATTTTTTTTTGAAAAAAACGCAGCTGTCCGACACATACAAACGGTCGAGACGGGTCCATACGTCTCTATACAGTATACACACTATATACAGCGTATAACAGTCACATCCCGCCACATCTCTACATCATACTCTGCGTGCACGCATACATATACAAACGTATATACTCGTTGTATATAATATATGTATTTATAATATAATATAATAATACAATCCACGACCAGATTACCGCTGCGATAATAATAAGACGTTTCTCGCGCGACTGTATACGTCTCAATTTTTCGTTTATACCGTCACTATGCCGACCGATGATTACGGCTCGTTCTTTTTTATTCCCCTCCCCTCTACTAAAAATGATTATTTTTTAAATAATTTATTATATTATTAATATTATTACCGTCGGAGGAATGCTTCGGCGGCTCGTATCTCTCTTAATCTCCGAAAACGACCCACGACGACGACCGGCGGAGGGGTCCGTACGGGAAAATTACAACACTGTGCGTATTATCATATACTTAAGACGCGGCAATCAAGTCATCAGGTGTCAATATTAACGCCAACGCCGATTCCCGGTGTCTGTGCAACAATACCTGTAGTAATTATATTATATGATAGGTAGGGTAGACGCACGTTATTATGCTTCATCAGCGATATCGCTCGAACCGCGTTAAAAAAAACATACACACATTAACAATTTACATAAATTATCATTCGCAGGATAATGTAACATGTAGTGTATATCTTACGTTTACGATAATAATAGGCAAAAGTCTATTGTTTTTTCCTAATGGGGAAGATGAAAAAACAATATAATAACGCCGTCCGTCCCACGCGTGTGATTCCTCCCGTGAAAACATTTTGACCGGAAGAAATATTATTATAAATTAAGTACTTTACACCCATAACAAGACACGTGAAACTCAAGAAGAATGTCGCGTACCGTCTGATTTGGGAAAAATAATTTATAACAACACCCACACAATCTTATCAGACTCTAATCTGTGTATTAATGATGCAAACGCATAGTAGGTAAACATATTGTATGAGAACCGGAAAGACGATTGTAGCATATCAATAGTTTCCACTCCCTATAATATTATACTTTCAATCAAATCGACGTCGTCGACTTAATCGATCAGACGTGTTCAATGTTGATCTAACACGATGTACCGTACAAAATGCAAGATTTATTCTTTCTTACTAGTTACTATTACATTAACTAGATGTAAAGCACGTTAATATGGATATTTGTATAGTATTTAAAAATTAAATGAAAACAAAATTATACAATCATAAAAAAGTACCTATACTATATTATTATTGCATGTTATACTTATATTTTCAACCTAAATACTGAAAACATCTAAAATTATGTACGTGGTTTGATGGCATACACATATTACTTACCCAGGCATCAAAAAGTACAAAATGAAAAAATACCGTGAACAAGTTTTAAAAATATTGTTTGATCATAAAACTTGTTGTTAGAACTTAGGTTAGGTTAGTCGTTAACATTTCAGTATAATCTGCACAGTATTTTTGAAATGTAAATATATTTATTTTTGCTCTATGGGTAGTAGCAGAGCCCGTCGGTGTACCAGTTTTCAGAAGAGGCTCAAAGCGGTTTTGACAAGCCAACAGGAGTTCACACGTGCACTTGTATTTATATATATATTTATTATTATTTATCCCGCGGCCGGAGATAAAACGATGCCGTCTTTCGGGAGGATTAACCGCCTGTCCGCGGCCCTGAAAAAACGTCATGGACACTAAAAATATTACACCTCTCGCATAATGGACCGGCGAATAAGGTCCACGCTTACCCGGTCAAACTTTTTCGATTGTAGAGAAAAGGGCACTCGAAAAAAATATCACTATTTGTGTCCCGCTGACATCAAAAGAAATCTTGGAATTTGTAGTAATCTTCATGTATTATGAGGTATTATAAGTATAATGTATTGATTTATAGAATAACATAATAATATGCATTCAGACAAGGTATATAAAATTTACCCTTAGTGATCTCGACAAATACATTATGAGATTATTTGTAGTTACCCATGAACTGGGTTTAGTATTTAATAACTGATAAATCTTATATAGGTAATTCCATAAGTTTTCTATACGCCGTGACCAGGCACTGCCTTTGTGTAAGAACGGGAACTGCTGGACATGATGTACAGAAGAAAAAACAAAATAAATAAAAAATCCCTGATAATCATGTATACCTATTGAAATTTGACAATGATGGATTATGAAAACAGTAACAGTTTGGTTTCAAAATTCGCACCTGTTTCTGGGTAGGTAGCAGAGGCGTATTTACAGAGAGTGATCAGGGTGATAAATCACAAATATTAAACTATACACATATCAAAATTCAAAATTACCTATTAAAAATATATTCATATAATATTAATGTTTTAATCATAGACAAATTACTGTTATCATAGATGTTTTGGACGAAATGTCACCAACAAATGCAGTGAAATAATAATTTTACTATAGATTATATTAATAAATAAATGTAAGCTAATCTAAAATTTAATATGTTTTTTTATTTTGTATATTTTAATTTTTTTATCAACTAACAAATGTGTTTTGATAAAAATCAAACTCTTGAAAATGGACTTCAATGCTTTTTGTCTATATAAATATAATTATAACTATATAAATAAACAAACAGTTTTAAGCATTGCGTATAAAGCACTACAAAGCACGGTACATCTTTTCGGTCCGGTCATAAGGACAAGACAACAACAGAGATTAGAGGCAACATTTTTTTTCCATATCACCCCCAGAAGAAAATTGCAAATACGCAGTGTTCATTCGAAATAAGACGCGGCACAACTTAGGTCCTGCGCTAATAGTAAGCTGTACTAAGGCGACATCAGCTGTAGATGAGTATAGGAAATACAAGTGTGTTGGCTTTGTACGTGTGTCTTGTGGCGACGTACAGGAAGAAAACCTGGTGAGACGGTGCTGATAGGATATTTTATGTACGACGTATGTATATATTTTATTATAGAGACGACGGATAGGATATGCCACAGGATAACACGAGTACGGTGTGGTGGAGGCGGCAGTAATCGTGGTAGAAGGGGAATACCAGATGTCGTTTCGGATGTCTCGTGAGTAGCAGGTATACCCATTCTCTTGGTTCTTCATCAGTCGTCCGGCGACCATCTTGCACGAAACCGCACGCCAGTTTATGTTAATATTATCCTTATAACGAAAAACGGACGTCGAACTAATTTGTTTGTTATTAGGTATTGCTGTTATTTTTTTTTTTTAAATAAATAACCATAACCCGTTTGGCTGTTTGCGTGTGAAAAAATACTGTGTTTTTTTCGGATTTTGATTTTGTTCGACAAAAGTAAAATAATCGGATGGACGATTTCTCTTTAACATACATACATACATATATATTTTTTTCTAATTAAATGATAAATCTTGCGTGTTACGGTGACACGTCGTTATTGCCGCGGATCCATCAAAACCGAGCTGTCGGAGACAACAAGTCATGGCGGGATTAACGATTAACCTCGGTTGTAAGTAGTCTGCATTTATAAATAATATGAAATATATTTATAACCAACCAGAACAGTTGGTTAGGGTGTTGTTTTGTTTAAAAACAAGTATAGTCTCGCAAGAGGGATGAACTAAGCTTCTGGTTAGACAGTTTTGCGCTAAAGCCGAATACAGCTTCTGCGTTTAGTGTACCATCCCATCTACTATACTTACCATTATGTCCATTAAGCTGAGTAACAGCAGCTGCCGCTTAAGTGTCTCTTTAGGAACGTTATCGGGCTGTAATAATAATTTTGACTCAATGCTAATGCGCGCCAACAGGATGACGGGGCTCAGCGTTATTTTTAAACGATCCGCGCGTACACACCAGCGAGACGTGTGCGTTTATACATGTATTCCGGGCAAAAGATTTGGCTGTACATTATAATAATTATCACCCTAAATAAGTGGTTATTCGACGAAAAAAAAAGCTATAAAATTCTCACAGGGCAAACGAGAACCGTCGGTGTAGGCACTGCTATTACGGTTTGGTTTTGTTTTAACGACTTTTTAATACAAATATAACACATACACGGACAACAATAAAATTAATAGACCAAAATATAGCCGCCAAATTCGTTCGCGTCTCGTACTATGTATGCGTATTAGCCTTTTGTGTCCGGACGACCCCGGTGGAGGTATATAAATATATATACAGATTGTGTACAGAAAAAAACGGGTCTAACGCGGTTGTGGGTTTTACGATTTTTCGGACCGTCTGCAAGCCTATTATTCACAACGCGCGACACTGGTGCAGCGACATTTCTTTGAAATTTACCAAATCTATTCTGTGCGAGGGGGTGGGGTGTAAAACGATTTTAACGGCTCCGAGAACTTATTGTGAACATGAAAAATAGATTACAGCTGTCATTGAACATAAAAGTAGCCCGTACGATGTAATGCGGCAATAAAATAACAACGCGTTTAATGAACCTAACTCGAAGATTGTATAAAACGTTTTACGGCCTTACGAATAATATATACATATTATAAATTATTATTATTATTATATAGAAGTTACGCCCAGCCGAAGAATTCGACTGCGGTCCATAGATTGTCGAATGAACGCGTTTGATGACCGGTAAAAAAAATACTAATATATTGTAGGTACCTAATGTATAAAATATAATGTCTGTTAAATCAAACGGATGAGAAGTAATCACGACGGCTAGGTTGGAACTTGGAAGTTAAACTAAATTAAATGAAATGCAAGTTACAGCATTTAATCATCATCGTAGACTAGAGGAAAGCTTAGCCCTTCTAAAATATCTGCAGCCCCTTTAAATTACTATTATCGTTAATATTTTATTAACTTATTGATAAATAATCAAATGATCATTATCAACATAAAACAATTGGTATATTGCTATCGTAAAACCCACACCCGATTTTGAGTTCTCTGCTATTATTTTTTGACCTGTAATCACTTAATAATTTTAGAATTACACAAATATGAAAAGGATTTTTTTGATCATTGTGTACTACAGATAAATAAAAAAAAATTTCGATTTATCAAATATTGTAGTGATACAAATTTTGAAAACATTAGTTTTTCATTAAAGTGGTATATTTATAATAAAAATCGTTAAAAATAATTAAATATTGTCATTTGGTATATTGTATATAGTTGAGTTTGAGAGTCTTCTTCTCTGAAATCGTAGGTTTTTATTTTTTTTGATTGGAGAGAGTTCATTTATGGAGGACACCCCTTTACTCTTAAATACGACACTGGGCTTAATGCTTGTAAAGTTTAGTCGTGGGTTTTTGTTTGTTCAACGATCTGATCTTGGATGTCTTATTAGAATACGTTCGCGTACCACGAGCAAGTAAGACGTAAGTTATTAGTAAAATTATAGTATATTATTGTATTTTTAGAAAAATGATGGAAAAAAATAATGACAATAAAAATTAAATTACCGTCTCATTCAGACTCGTCGCACTTATCTATGCATAAATAATATGTGCCGTCTATACGGTAATCATCGTTCTTCCTACATCAGCTTGCGGTGCGCGTTCGGGCGTACGAACCGCGTTGCGGTTTTCATATATTATATTATTATATACTTACCGAGGACGTTCTCTATATTCGTGCATAGGTTATTACGTTAAACACTGTCTCTATATTATGTAGGTATATGCACGTCAAACGTACATAGCGTTGCGGTATCGTGGTCATCGTTTGGACAAAAAAATACTATTATTTCTTTTTTTTTTACTATTATGTTATTATTAATGTTACCACAATTGCGCGCCGGAATCGTCAAGAAGGGTGCGTTTTTGGGGAGAGGAAGGGAGACAGGACGAGGTTTGGTCTTAGTAGGCAGTCTTAGCCGGCTATCGTGTAATCCGACACGGATTAAGGGACGACCTGTTGATGATGGTGCAGGGCCGGTGACAGGTGAAAATAGGTCTGACAGGTCGTCGAACAAACGCGTTACTACCGCTTGGCCGCAACATTACAATGTTCGTCTTGCCAGCACCTGTGCACGGTGTGTGCGCATCTTCTCCTTTCATCCCCCGAGATTTAGACTTATTTCGCACACTCTCCCACGTCTCCGATTATTATACGAACTGTGACAGCCCAGTAACATGTCCCCCTCACCCTCTGCTTCCAATCTAGACAGTTTTATTGTACCGGCAAATTGTGTTTGGTTGGTCTGTTTCTTCTTCGACACAATACAGACATTTTTTACACACTCGTCTTTTTGGTTTTGCCAATTTTCCACTATTAGATCAACAGAATACATTGCTAGTGCACTTGCAGAACAAAAGACACGGCGTGGAAAAAAAATAAACGTCAGAAACTATTTATGTCGTTATATTTTGATTGCCGTACATTATTTTGACCGGCGGCTGTCACGGCAAACAATGAAATATACAAGAAAACCTTAGTAAATATTTTGTGATATATTATTTTTATTCGACATAATAATGTATTATACTGTGATCAGAGATAGACTGGCCTCTGTGAGATAAAGCCTATTTTTTTTTTTTAGGAATTTGTGATGCCAGATTGGCGAAATTTAAAAACTTAAATTGGGATGGCACAACGGTTTTTAATTTCGAAAACTAATTCTTAAAAATATGTCCAAAATATTACTACTTTTAAAGAAATTGTATACTGTAAATGCATTATAATGCGAATAACTCAAGTCAAAATGATTAAACTGGTAGGTAGAAAACCTTTAATTATGATCCTTACATCAAAAATGGTAGTGACAGTGGTTCATTTTGCAATTCTGATTGTATATTAATTGTAGTTTATGGAGCTCTAATGTGATATAGCTATAAAAGTTCAATCGGTTTAAAATACAAACGTTAAAAATTCATTCTATTTTATAACATTTGAAAATGTTTTACCTATAAAAAATATATTGTTCTTGAAGATTTCTATTATATTGTACACAAGGTTAATAACTACAAATGAGTACTGAAATGAACAATTTTTTTGTTTGAATATGAAATTGTACGTACACTTTAACCAACAAAATGTTTTATTAACAATGATACACAATATTCATTGACGGATTGACCCATATTACTAATCCGACATGATGAGTTTAAAAATTAAACAAGTTAACGCGTAGTTAACTTCTACTAAAAGTAAGGGCAATCGTGTTTCAGACGAAAGTAAGCCCCGTGGGAGCTTCCGAATGCTGTCATATGCGGGCTGTATAGTTTAATTATTATTACAATAGAGGTAGTATGTTATAATTCGATCTCTAGACCACTCAAATTAAAAACCCCCTTAGTTAAATAAACCAGGTTTTATTCACCGGGGTTTATTGTTTAAAATGCCATTGAAAGCGAAGCCCCTAACAAAAAAAAACCCTCATATCCCAATTAATTTTTATTATTATGTTAGGAATTTCAATAATCTTACACGAGTAGTTTTTCTGTCAAATCGTGGCGCAAACAAACAGACATAAACAAAGGCGGTTGGCCTTTGAACTTTCGAATTTACATTTTATGCAGACAAGGATAATAGTACTGGTTGTTGTACATATGTAAAGTTTATATGTTACACGTTTTACATTTTTTGCCGACAAGAGAAATATGATTTACCGTACTGGCGTGTAATGTAATGTGTGCGGCATAAATTATTATTTAGAAAACGATTTTGCTCTGATTGTACTATACACACACAGAACACTGGGCGTCGAAGTCCTTCTACAAACCGAGCCACGCTACATGAAAATGCATTAATTATAAAACTCAAACTCAAAACAAATAAACATATCAAATGGTGTACCTACATATCTAACGTACCGTAGCCTTTTTTTATATTGATTTTTCTCCGGGAACTGATTTTAATTTAACGCTGGGTTTTACTATACGGCTGTAGACTGCAGTTAACACAAACCAATAAATAAATCCATTCTGTTCGATGTATGTATAATAATCTGTACGGCTGCTACGGTATAGCATAAATACCGTGGTCATATAATATATATATATATTTGTAAAATACACTTGTACCTATCTATCAATAAACGATAACTTCTTTTTTTTTGGTGTTTGTTTCCAACTAATTAAAGTACCGCCGCGGCCGAACTGGTCAGGTCGACGAAACTTTTGGGGATAAATTATACGAAGATATTTAGGTATATTATTATTATTATTGGACGTTGGCATTCCTCTGGTATATAGGCACACGCCCTGCTGACCCGTTTGACCCGCACGTTGCAGAATGTCATCGAAAGACACACACACACATAAAAGCGGTCAGGTTTTTATTTGGCATTGTTTCCTCCTGGACGCGCCATTGTGTCGTTTTCGAAACTCTATACACTACATAACATATTATATCCGCAGCTACCTGAATTCATATGTATGTTTATATGTGTACGCCAGTTGAGATGGCAACAACCGTGCCCGGACGTCGTTTCTCTCTGTCTCTCTCGAATCTCTCTTTAATTTGTTTGTCTTGTGCACACACACGTATGTGTGTACACAGTAGCGAGTATAGTACTACTGAGCAAACACACTAGAGTTCAATAGGTGTACTCTGTACACACAAACGCGCGTGTACGGTCGATTCTCCGGTTGATGATGATAATAATAATATTACCGACAGAAGTGTTATTTTCCGAGAGCGCATCTTGGCACACATTTTAATCCGTGAGCGCAATGTGGCAGTCGATTTTTTATTACCCGTCGTCCCTTGTCGACCGCCTGTCGTTGGGTTACGTTTTATACCTATATAATCTATATATATAGCCGACTCAGACGGAAAATAAAAACGTCTAATAACAATAATAAAAACGCATAAATCGAACGACGATTCTAGTTAAAAACAATAGGGACAGTGAGAATATTTTAATCAGAGGACAGTGATTTTAACGATGGGGTGTAAATTTACCAAAACTATGACTACTCTGTCCCGTCGTCAATTATAATACATAAAAACTTATTTATATATTTTGCTGTAAACTAAAACCTAAATCAAGTCATCACAGGAAGCCACTGGATTCTAATCAGTGGCTGCAAATGATTACCACTTAATATGCATATAATAACAATTATTTATGTATAATAATATATGGAACGAGTTTTGTAATGGTATGATTTTTTTTTTATAGAAAAAGTGGCGATGAAGACGCCCTCGGGCTGGTGTTCGACGACAGTGGCGTTTCTGGGAATGGCTCTGCTTTGGATTGGCGGACCGACATCAGACGCCGCCGCCGCCGCCGCCACTGTGGGTACGGCCGTGGCAAACGACCGCCACTCGCCGACTTGCGAAGAGGTGAGGGTGCGGTGCGCGTTCGGCTCGGGTTGCTCGGTGGCGTTGCACAACTACTTCACCAAGTGTGACCAAATGCTTAGGGCGGATTCCACGACGTGTCCCGAATCGTGCCTATACGCCCTGGTGTCCATTACCTCTACCGAGGAAGGCAAAAAACTCCTTGACGTGAGTATATGCATTATAGTATTAGTAGTAATAATTATTTTATTGAAAATAAATTAATTTAATTTAAAAAAAAAAGAGTAGTGTGTTTGTTATCCCTTACAACTTATTACTACATATTTTATACTTAAATTGTTCGAATTAACAATAATTGTTTCGTTCGATAAATAATATACATTTATTAATTAAATAATAAAAACCTTTTTTTTTGTGTTTGTATAGATAATATTGTTTATCAAAATAATATTTTACAATTTGTAATTTGTGAATCGTACAATGTCCGCATTTTTTATTTTTGTTAAATCAATTAAATATTTCTTATTTTCATGAACGACCTATTGCTAAAATTGTAAAATTATATCAACTCATATTACTAGTTATACAAATAATATTCAGTTTATCGTACGATTTTGGAGGATTTTAATTTAAAACTGGGAATAAGTTATAGCCGATCGTTCATGACAACTGGATTGCTTAATTTTTAAAAAATATAATTAAAAAGATAAAGGTCTACAAAAACGTTTTTCAACATATCTCGTTCGCCTAGGTCATCCGCAAAACTGGATGGAAAAATGTATTTATTTTTATTTTATTGCCTTCCGACTACCGTATTTATTATTATTATTACTATTAAATGATAATTTTATGCTCTGTGTACTCGTAGCGAAGAAAAATATAATAGTTTTAACGACGCAAACAAGATTTACAATTTAGTACAGCTCCACGATAACAAACCAGACTTTAATTAGGCGGAAAAAAAATGTACAGTTTGATGGAGGAAATGGTCGTTATGTTGGTCTCTTTATTACCGTCGTCAATTCTCGTGAAATAATTTTATTGTTTGGGAACTCAATTTACAAACGAGCAGTTCACATATTATAAAGGTTTGTTTAGCCTCCGGGGTCAATTATCTTTGAAAGGTTTGATTCATTGCAATTTACACACTCGCTCGTAGTCTATTAAATTGTGTACAATAAAAATATACTTAAAATGCTCTTTTTTTTTATAATGTGTAACTGTACATACGACATGAGTGGTGAATACTACTTTTTACAGGTTTTTGGTAGAAAAAAGAAACTAGATTCAATTACTGTTGCCAATTGTATGGGTTTAAAACTAGGAAATTGTAGATTCATATTTTAATTTTAAAATATTTTTGAAAAATTTTACTAACGGTGTGGCGTTTGTTTTGCTTTTTACAGTGTACGTGTAGGGACCGGTACTGCGAAGAGACGAAGGCCCGCGTAGAGGTATGCCGTCCGTTGGTGCTAGAGGCGGTCAAGAACGAGACGATTGTGTCCTGCGAACTGGCACAGTGGATATGTGCTGTAGACCCGGTGTGCTCGGCCGCGTTGGGCTACTACCACACGTACTGCAAGCGGATGATCCAAGGCGTCTCGTGCACGGAGAGGTGTCTGAACTCGATAAACATACTGCAGCGGCAAGAGAAGGCGGTCAAGATGAACCGGTGTCGGTGTTCGGGCGCGGCGGCCGGCGAGTGTTTGCGCAACAAGGAGCGCATGGCCAGGCTGTGCTACGGCGAAGGCGACAACGGGAACAGACCGAACGGCAAGGGCGGTCGGAAAAACCGGAAGAAGCATCGGCCCAAGGCGTTCGAGGACGACCCGGACAGGTCGGAAATCGAAGTGATGCTGGTCAACGGGCCGGACTACCAGCCGGACGAACGGCACCGGTACAATGCCGCCGGCAAGGGATCCGCGGTACCGTTGCGGTCTGCGGCGATTAATCCACTGGTCGTTGTGGCCGCCGCGGTTTTGCTAGTCAAATGGTCGACGGGCACGATGGTCGTTAGATAGCTTTTCGCCTAACCGCACCTGTATTTTCCCGGCTGCGGTTGGCCGCCTACATCTGGTATCACACGGACACCGACCTATCGTTGTCGTCTTCTACGGACGCGCGGTTGCCAAAGAGATTATACATCATTATTATTATCACAATTATTATATTATGCGCTTGGACACGGCCGATAAATGATAATGAAATAATGTTTTTCTATTGAATACCCGACACCTGAGACGAATTAATAATATTGAGAGACCTACTTCCGATATCCCAAGCATTCACTCAAGCATCACCGGTTCTTCATGGAAGTCCTGAACTTGAGGACCCGCAACACCGTCGTCGGTCTACACTTCAGAACGTGTGCGATATTGTTATTCTGATTATTATTATTATTATTATTTGGCTTAAAGCCGAACCAAAGACGATTTACTATTGTATTACTCTTACCCGACGGCGGCAATAGACTTCATTCGCATACCAAAAAAAAAAAACTATCCAACTCAAAGACGGTGTATATTTCTACGACCAAAAAACAATAGAAACCTAAACCGTTTGGATAAAAACCTACTTATTTTTAATAGTATGTTGTCATGCCCCCCCCCCCGTTGTGTGTTTGTGTTTCACGTTTAAATGTTTTCAAGGGTGTGTACATCATGATCACTAGATATTTGGTACAAAGTTGTTTTATAGTTTAATTGCCTTGTTTTATATATTGTTTATTATTTTTACATAACTTATTTATATTGTATTGTAAAAAAAAAAAATATTGTATTTTTATAGTCAAAAAAAAAAAAAACTTTACCAACAGTACAAATAGAGTTGTTTCATTTTATCGTTTTATTTTCCTTCCCGATTCGCTACCCGTCATATTTTAGTTTTGATTGTAACAGTGTTAAATTTCATGTTTTAACGGATCCGGTTAAGTATGCTATATGGTGCGATAGCCCTGAAAAACTCTCACTTGACCTATTCCACGGTATAATTAAAAGTATTCCCCACAATTAGCCATCGTTGCCCAAGTATCCTGATTTCTGACCCCGGACTTGTTGTATACACGCTTCGGAATTGAAATCAAAAAAGACTAACGCGTTAATTCGAAGGTCTCTTTCTCATTTCCTGTCTCTCTCAAATAATATATCATTTGGAGTTTATTAGATGTAAATCAAACGGTAATCTCCCGTTTGTGGGAGTAAAAGGATTACAATATAATACAAACGTGTGTATAGATAATCAAAAAAATGACGTTGGTTTAAAATCGTAAATTTGTCACCCCATATATGTGTAGGCTTTTTTTTTTTTTTTCTTAAGTATTTTAAGTATATTCTTTATTATAATGTACACCCGGCGGTGGTGAACGGTGTACTTAAATTTATTTTGAACTTAAATATGAGCCTATATGTATATATTTATATATATATATCACAGAAGAGTGCCTAGTGTAGAGGGGAGAGCACACGGACCACCCACATTGGTTAGGTTGATGGTCGGCCGGTCACAGCGGCGGCAACGCAATAATAATAATAATAATATTATTATTATTCTTTGACCAGAATGACGACAGTGGAATGGAGGGGACGTACATAATATACAGATATTATATTATTATTATATAGTTGATGGTTAAAGCGTGTGTAAAATTTAATTTTCGACAGGACACAAAAGTATAGAAAAATGCAATAAGCTCATGACGCGTTGCTTAAGTTGTACTTGGCGGATCGGACGATTAACATATATAATTACTATTCAAATATTGTACAGTGATAGAACGACCATCGACGAAGGTCATACGTTTTAACGACTCAGATGAGTTTTAACGATTTGCATACATTTATATTTTTGAAGTTGAGCATACTGAAAAAAAAAAACTACCGATATTGGCGGAAATCTGTCTTAAGTATATAAACGGTTTCGTGTGAATGAACACCTTGCCGTCGGTGGTTAAGTGCGCGGCGAAAATTGTATATTTGTAATAGGATTAGACAGCGAACGTTAAATATAAATGTTGATTGTTCGTCAGCCAAGTGTAAACAGATTTTAATAAAAAACGCATACAAATTAATATCACCCGTTTGCAGTATGTATATGTGTTGTAATAAACGTCACCGTGTTAAAATTCGCATTAAAAACAAACAAGATACTACATTATCGTACATAGAAAATCTCGCTCGAGTTTATAATATCTCTTCGAAGTTTGAGGCCACTTTCGGATATAGTCAATCAAAACCACAAAAAAAAGTAACAATATTAGGCCGCGCATGGTGCTTGGTGAGGTCACGGGGAGGCCTACAGTGTTAAAGAAATTATTATAATTACAACAAAAACTTACAACACAGGTACACGCGGTGAGCTTCCAAAAAACGTATGGCGTTACCTCGTCAGGTACTTAACTGGTTGTAATCTATTTGGCACATAAAACGCGAAGTGCTTACAAAACTATACTTCTTCTACCCAAGCTAATTTATTTTTAACAATTACTTTCGCTCTTAAACCTTTTATGTAAACAACTATTTCCTTAGAAGTAAGTTCATCAACACGCAGATACTTCAGTTGTTCCATACAACAATAGTCATAAATATAATATCCATCAAATTTATTTTAACATATGAGAAATGTTACAGTTCGAAAAAAAAGTGTATATAGATAACTCAGTTGCTATATGCATATATACGAACGATTTACGACAGTCGACTACCATGTCCTGGATAAGATGGTTTTTTCTTCTCTTTTACAAGATCATAAAATATAGAACAGTATTTCGTTTTAATGAGCCTGTGAGCTAAGAAAAGATCAAGCCGATAACATTCTGTACACGCTCCCTGCAGACGTATAAACAAATCTTGACAAATGACAATATTTTTATCCTTTAAAAATGATTCAGATCATTATAATACAAACTTATGATTAACGTACCGCAGCCAAATTGCTTATCAACATATATATATATATATATATACTATATTAACCTTAATTAGACCATCGTATTTATAGTTAATAGAATTAATATATATATATAAATGTGTATAGATAACAACTACATTACATACATCTATTTTAAAAGACTTATAATTAATTAATTGGTTATCTATAAGGTCGTTTGCATCGACCGAGTTGAAAAATGTAATTATCTATTTTAATTAGAGCTGTGACAGTAATAATTTTTTTCGTCGTTAAACATTTTTCATTTTAACGAGAAGCTGCAGATGTAATGTGAAGAAGTAATGTTTTTACAATGATATTATTTTATTTATTTATATATACTTTTGTCTAAGCTCACGATATCGTCGAAACCGCTGAACTGATTCATTAATGTAGCAAATCAGTAAATCAGAAATCGTACATAAAAGGTACTTTATTAGGCCAAACATTTTTAAAATTCTTCCCCAGTTAAAATTGGTTTTAAATTTGTATGGAATATTCTTTAGACATACTACTATAGATAAACGTTGACAAACCGAAAACATAAACCCTTTTACTTAGTAGGGGTAATAAATTTGTCTTTATTTATCTTATTCGAGCGTAGTTTTTAAGACATAAGGTCTAAAAATTAGATTAAAGGTATAAACAATTTTCCTTAAACATTTGTAGCCAAACCTTTTTTTTTTATTAAAAAAACCCCCTTCCCACCCCCAAAAAAAGGGGGGAAATTACACTGCGACCCTAGTGAATTTACAGGTAACAATTAACAAGTCACCAGGTATATGAAAAAATACTTTCATTTTATTGTAACGCCTTTTTAAATTTAAATTTACGACTTTAATATTCGCAGGTTTTACTGGCTGTTTTTATCAACCGGAGACTAGTTGAGATTTATTATCTAGTAAAACTTCTACATTTTTTTTTTAAAAATAATTTTACCTGCTTAGACAGTCTCTTCATGCATATACTCTGAGTATTTATTTATACATTGCTTAGTTAATATTTATACTCATAATTACTTCGAAATACTCGTTCTATAAAATGCGTTGCCGTCAATCGAATGATAACGTGTTCTATTTTTCAAAGAATAATAGCTATAAATGATATTTAAACTTAAGTATAGGTATGCATAGGATTGTTTTAAAAATTAAGTGAGGACTTGCAGTTAATACACATCTCCGGTTGCGTTATTAATTGTTTTGTATTTTATCATAATAAAATATACATTGTATATTATTTTAACGTGAAATTTAGGTACGCCGATCGTTATTGTATATTTTTTTCTATCTTAAATATTTTCCAACGGTGGACATACAAAACCAAAAAATATATACAATACAAACCGATGACGTACGGTATATTACCGTTGAAGAAGGGAGACAGCATTGGCGCCACAAGTAAGTAATCATGAAAAAAATCACAAGTCCCCGGCCGTTGTACCAGTTTTTTTCTTTTCATGCGCACATAGTTTTATATTATTATTTAGTGTCCTGTTCACTATTCATCAATGAGCAGTATATGCGCTGTCTCGTGGAAATGATGGATTGCTCTGTGCTCAGCACTAATATGCGTTTGCTCTCAGGAATTCCACATGTTCAATTACTAATAATCCCGATAAAACGTTTTGTAACGCTACGCCGCGACGATAATACCATCATCGAGAAAAAAATTTGTCTGCCCTTAAACTTAATCACATATAACACGGTACTTATACTCACACATCAATTATTTAGGAATATACATATTTTCTTAACTAATATGTTTTGTTGAGGTTTGGCGGCAACAAGTATAATAATTATTATTTGAAGTTTCCAAATGAATATGTATGCATAATGACAGTTAAATTCGTAATATTATTTAATAAATGTTAACAACATGAACGAAGATTTGGGAGGGGGGAGGGGCTAGGGATTTTAAAAACCCTTTAGACCTACAATTAGTGCTATATTTATTTTTATTTCAACAAATCTCTCACTAAAAAATAAATTTTGTATTTTGAAAAGCACTAATTTTAAGTTTTAATGTTTTTAGTAACCCGAGATCCCCCCCCCAAATTTCTGCCCATAAATTTAATATCTGATTTCCTGTTTTATTTAAAAATTATCGCAAAAAAATGATTATGAACTAGTAATTTGTTTCAATGAAATATATTATTTTGCTGTGTGGGTATAACGAATATTATTCGCGTAGACGTTAGTTTTATGAACCGCGCACGTTTCACCGTTGTAACTTGTAGGTATATTAAACGATGATTAGTTTTTGTCAATCGATTTATTATAGAGAAAAATTATAATTAATGCGCACACGGTTCGGCCTCGCTGCGAAAAAAAAAATACTTACCCGCCGAGATTCTTTATGAAAAGACATACCCGTAGTACGCCTACTATTCGGTCAATACACCTGTCAGTATATTATAGTAGTGCTGTATATACTCACTCCGAGCAAAAAAAAAAAATCATAATGAGTATAGTGTATATACATATTTTTAAAACCAATACTACCAGCGTGTGTATAACGGAGGACACGCAACGTTATTGCCGTGCAGGTTTTTTTTTTCTTTTTTCTTTCGGTGGTGCACGAATAGAGTATAATATAGGATGTATACTGGGGGCTTATATAGCTTAGACCAGACGGTGAATAACAAATAAATAATAACGCGGACGAAGTACGTCTCACAACGTATAACATAATAATATAATGTCTTCATTGCCTCGGCGAGCGTCCGACGTGAATGTTATTGTAATTATCATATTGCCCAATTCCGGTCGACCGTTTGTACACGGTATAATATTATAATATAGAGGTACCTACA